CAATATTAAATCATATTGAAGACTTTTCATGTCTTCTACTTACCATGTGATGGCCTAGCTTCTTTGTCATAGAAATTACTCCAACCTCCAACATAGGTAGCTTAAGATTGAGAGCTCGCATCTATTTATGTTTCCCTCCTCCCATTCCTCTGTTGTCAGATCTTTCTTCTCAGTATAATTTTTAAAATTTTTTAATCCTTGGACCTACCTGATGTCATGAAGTATCCTTCGCTATTTTTATAAGAAATAGAAAGCGACAATTAATTTCCTTGAAAGCATGCTTCCAAGCCATTGTTGGTGACTGAAATATCACATGTTATTGTTTTGTGATGCTAGTGGCTTGCTTTTCTAATAGTCTTTTCTTGTCATTAGTCCTTGGTTTAGTTGATATTTTTATTTGTTGATCTATCTTAGCTGCTGCTGTCTCGCTTAATATTGTTGATGTTTATTAAGTATAGCTCAACTTCATATTCGCTTATTGACTGGTTTTGATGCTATGGTGTATGGTCAACATAGCACGAGGTTCACATGTTGATGCTCTCTTTTTCCTATGTCTTGCTTATTTGATTGAGTGATTTATGCTACTTTTACTGCTAAACAATCACAGTTTTCAACTTTTATTAAGTTTTAAATGTTAATCCAATAAAAAAGATATTTGTCATCTGACTGGTGAATAATTTACTTGTTGTGATAATGAGCCAAAACTAACGTTAAAACTTGGTACAAATAACTACAATATTACCAAATAAAAGACTTCAACTTGCAGGAAATAGAAGAATCATGGCCTAGACACCCTTTCTTTCTTCACTATCTGAGGTGGGCCTCTCGTGCTACAGAAACAGAATGCCCGTGCATCGGTTCACACGAACAGCACAGAAGCGAACCGACTACCCGTTTTCAATTCCTTTGAAATTTTTAGCCAGATTCCTTTTTTCCATTCATCCTTTCTAATCCTTTCTAATACATGTCTTGTATTAGGGTTTATATTGGAGTTTATTTGTGTTTTTGTTCCAAACAGCCATTGACATACCAGTTTCTCCCTTCTACGATTATATCCAAGAGCGGGTGGTGCTCCAGCTGCACCTCGTTTCAAAGTGGTGATTCTCCTCCAACGGTCAAGTGGTGCTCCAGTTATATCTCACTCCTGACGTGTTTTATCCTCATCTAACCTTCCCCACGCCTTCCTACATCGCTTCCCCTTCATCCAGTTTGTTGTCCCCTTGATGTCATCCCCAAAAAACATCACAGTTTTTACCGCTGACCCTTGCCATCTAGCCCCAGTCCAGCCATGCTCTTCATCCTTAGATGTTGTCCATTGATGTTCCAGCCATCTGAACTGCTTCTCTGCATGGAGTGGATCTAACAAACATTAAAAGAAGAATGAATTCAGATGATTTCCTGAATGGTTGTAAACTGTTGAGTGAATCTTTGAATACAAGGAGGTGTCCGATGACAAAAAATTTAAGTTCACTGCCATCATGCTAAAGAAGAATGCTTCTTTATCAAAGGGGATAATCTAAAGAGAGGAAGAAAGAGAGGGTGGGATAGAATAACATATTGGGAGAAAATGAAGAAGTGATGCAGCGACAATACCTACCTTTACACTACCGCCAAGATATTTTCTTGGAGCTCCCCTACAACGGAAGCTATCAATGGAGGAGTGCACGGTAGAATTTATGCAATTTAAATTGAAGTTTGAGCTGAAGGAGACAGAGAAACTCTTCATAGCTTGGTATTTGGGAGGCCTAAAGCCCGCCATCAATAATGTGGTCCAGCTGCAACCCTATTGAACACTAAAGGACGTGCAGATCTTAGCACTGAAAGTGAAGAGACAGCAAAGCAAGGCAAGTAACCACCGCCACTTAGATAATTACCCACAGTCGGAGACCTAAGGAGGAGCACTCAGGGAGTGGAACAAACTAATCAGGAACATGACAAAGCCACTCCGAATGAGAAGAAGTTTGAGAAGAGTAGCACGAAAACTACAGACCCAGCCAGGAAACAATTCAGTGTCACCATTTTGGACACATCGCTTATAATAGCCTGACGAGCCGAGTTGTATCCTTCGCTGAGCAAAGTACAGTGGAGTGAGCAACGAAAAAAAAAATTTGAAGGACAGAATGAGGAGTATCAGCTTCCACAGGATGAAAGCGAGATGTTGGTAGTCTGACGGTCCTTCAGACTGAGGCTACGAGGGAGCAACAGTGGCTTCACCATAATATATTCTACACAAGCTGCATCGTAAAACAATATGTATGCAGTCTCATCATTAATTATGGGAGTATCACGAATGGGACATTTACACATATAGTGGATAAATTAAGCCTCGTGACTCAGAGACATGCTTTGATGTGGTTGAAGAAGAAAAAGAGAGTCAGCATCGACATGAATTGTCTTGTAGAGTTTTCAATCATGATTCAATTGCAAAATCAGTTATGGTGTGATGTGGTGCCGATGGATGTCTGTCATATTCTATTAGGGAGACCGCGGTAGTTTGACCGTCAGACTCAGCGTGACGTGTTCAGGAACAATTACTCATTCGCCAAGGATGGCAAGCACATAGTCCTACCTTCCGTAGAGCCCGACTTTACAGGTGCCCTTACCATCAGAGAAGTGCCCTTATGATCAATTTTGGTGATGACAGAGAATGGGACGGGAGAGACAGTTTCAGACACTAACTAGCTAGTACAATGAGAGTTTTAGGACATCCTAAATGATAGCTCATCGTGATGGCCACCACCGTTAGCAGAGATCAAGGTTGCTCTCACTTCGAATCAGGTTGAGCTAATATAGGATTACTTTAGGAGGATTCAGCAAAATATACATGCATGCAATCCCAGTTTAGCTCAATAACAAGCTCCCAAAAGGCTGGATCGTTATGAATTGTTGCTAACAAGTGGGGAAAATTCCTCAAGGGTATTGGGAGCGATGCAGCCGACAGTGGGATGTAGGTGCTTCTAAAGTCATAGTTGAAGATCTGTCAACCTCGTGAGGTTACAACAGCTCTGTCAACATCAACATACAGGTAGAAGCTTCGAAGAATGAGGTTGAAGCTCCCCAAATCCCAAGAGACTGACGTGAGCGTCTCCCACTACAGGAACCGAACACGCGTGAGCAAACTCACACGAACGGCACATAGCAAAACCGAGCATTCCATTTTTTATTCCTTTCAAATTTTTAGCAAGTTTCGGTTACCTCCTCCGAGGAGATCTCGTTAGCAACCGTGGGTTACCTCCCGAGCATTCCATTTTTTATTCCTTTCAAATTTTTAGCAAGTTTCTTCTTTTCCTTTCATTCCTAGTGTTTTTCAATATATGTGTTGTATTAGAGTTTAGATTGAAGTTTTTTTTGTGTTTCTGCTCATGACAGCATCGATGCCCCTATTTCTCCCTTCTAGAGTTGTATCAAAAGTGAGTGATGCTCCGATTGTATCTCATTCTAATGTGGTGATTCTCCTCCAAGTGTCGAGTGGTGCTCTGGCGGTATCCCGCTCCTGATATGGTACTTATTCTGTTCTACCCTTCCCCGCCTCTTCCTACATCGCTTGCCTTTCATCAAATTCGATGACCCCTTGTTGTCTTCCCCAGAAAACAGTTCAACCACTATTTTTACCACTATACCCTTCCATCCATCCTTGGTCTAGCCATCCTCTCCCTCCCTAACTGTTTTCCATTGCTGTTCCAACCACCTAAATTGCATCCCTGCAGCCTAGTTGTTGTTCGAGCAAATCCCATGCGCTGCCCTAATTGTTCTCGTCGCTCAGAATTGCGCTTAGCCATTGTTCCTTTGTTGTATAGCCCAAGTATCTCATTGCTACCATTTCTCCAAACCTCGTCGATCACCCTGAGATCCACCCTAGTTTGAGTCTTTGTGTTGTGCTATTGTATTTTTCCCCTCAAGTGTGTTGGTTGTAGCTGTTTATTATCTATTAGTAATAATATTTGTTTTTCTTTTATTGTGATTTGAGTTAACTCTGGTATCACTATCATTTGCCATCACCATCATAGCCTACCAACACTATCGCAATTACGCCACGCCCTCATTTTTAGCACTCTCCATGGTGGAACACTGGAGCCACTTAAGCTTGCACTCACCCTTTTACCTCATCTATTTTGCTTACACCAATTTTACTACTAATGTTCAACACCACAGTTTGCCATACCAATATTACTACTAATTCTTGATCTACGATTTCATTTTTCATGTTTTTCATTGTTGCAGACAAACTGCTAGAATGTTTCCATAGGGATTCCAAGTAGGCAAGGCCAAGGTCAATGAGTGAAGGTCGTAATTTGATTGTGTCGTCGTGGCATATGAAATTGAAAAATGATCATTTTTGGTGGGGGAAAGTAATAACTCAAACCTCTGAAAATTTAAAAAAAACCATGACGAGTGTTTTAGTGTTGACGGCGAGAACAAGACCCAAGCCAGTTTATGAGCGAAAGTCGCACGACTTGATCCAGCAGTTCTCTTTTCTCCCACCTTAAGGATAATGTGCCTTTAAGAGGGGAGTATTATTATGCCGGTACCTATGGGCAATTTAGTAATTTTTCATGTATTATTATTTAGTATAAATAGAGCTAATATGTCTAAGTTTAGGGTTATGCATGAGATTGTTGCCTGGAGTTTTAGGGCTAGGGCTTGGGAGAGATTTCCGAACTTTCAAATTATAACATTTGGGAGAGATCACCTACCTCTCGAATAGTAGGTGCTTGTCTTTATGTATTTATGTTGTATTGCTTTGATTTTGGTGTTTGTGAAATAAGTATGTGTTTGCCCTAATTACTTTTGAGAAATCTATTATGCATCGTATCAGAATTTTAACATAAGGAAATATTTGAAACCTACTGTTTCTAACATCAAATTAATTTCTCTTCAGTCTTACAAAAGGGCATGAAGTTTATGAAAGCAAGACAGGCCTTCAAAAAAGAAAATGAAAATATTAAGGCGACAAGGATGGTAAATTGTATAGAAACAACAAATACTCGAAACTAATATACCATCAGGCTTGTTGATTCCCATTCCAAATGCCACCTGGAATTATATATCAAATAGTCCATTAAGTACATTTGGAGTTATGAAGAGGCTAAGGACAGACAGGAAAAAAATAGTGAGCATCTTGCACAGGCAATACATACCGTACCAACAATAACCTGTAATTTGCTGTTGCTCCATCTGTCCAAAATAAGTCAAAACCAAAATAAAAAAAAATATCAGAATACTCAGTTGTTCCACCTAGTACACGCAAACATCTGAATCAAAAGTAGAAAAGAGAAAAAGAAACTAAAACAAGTAAAATAGTGCAGCTTTCCAAGCAAAAATTCATATTCTGCTGAGTCTTAAATTTACAAAAATGATATTGATAAGTTTTACAGAAATGAGTTAAAATGCTCTAAACTTTCATATTATTCATTTAATTTCAAACAAAAATTCTTCAATAGAATTTCGCATATTTAATCATGGTGAACTACGGAACGCTGCATGCTGCATGCTATGATTCATAACCTTAGTAAGGCTACTTTAATCACATTAGCTGCTGTTCAAAGTGTTAATGACATCTCTTCTTCCCAAGAAATGCACATAAACAATTAAGGTGAGCGGATAAAATAACTAAATTCAAGGTCAATACTCAAAATTAAATGCTAATTCCCTTTCCAATAGAAAAATAAGTGTTATGAAAGCCTTTTGAAACATATTGTGCACCTTTGAAAGACAACAGTTTAGGTGCATGCTGTCCATGCTTATTAGTCCTCTCGAAAATTTTCTCATTTTAATAGAACCCGCAAAGTTCAATATTGATATCATACTGCAAGGAGCAACAAATAATTTAATGATTCAGTTTCTGATTAAGCTTATCTATGCACTCTCTCACCCATGTAAACTTGTAACCATGAAAAGAATAATCTCTTATTCTTTAATAGTTTGAGAAAAACTAAGGGTGAACATTTGGTGTTACTTTCTATTTTAAAATTTTTAAATAATTTTTTACTTCAATTTTTTTATTGTTTAAACATAAAATGAAAAAACTTTTGATATTCTTATGAATTTTCTACTTTTAAAATCAGAGAATAAGAAACATGTTTGATTTTATCATATATTTAACTTTTATTGCTAAACTACGATTCCGGGGAGGGGCAGGGGGGGCGGCGCCGCGGGGCAGGGGTACTACAGGAAAAAACAGCAATAGCTATCGTTCTGGAGGCAACTGCAGCAGGGAAGGACGGTGTGGAGCAGAGACAAGCGATGAAGGAAGGATAAATGACCACCTTAGATAAAGTCAGAGCAGCACTCGACCCTTTGATACAAGAAAAAAATGGAGACGCCGGCGGCTGCCTCAAACAAAGCTCACTACAATACTGAAAACCTAAATCACAAGAAGCAAATATATATCCCCTGGATAACGCACATTGTTAAAAGGAGGCACCAAACCAAAGAGAAGAAGCCTATCGACTCTCCCCTTCCCTGGATCGATTGGTCCAAGCTCTGGAGCGCTTGTCGAACCCGCGAGCGTAGGTTCAGGAGTAGGAGATGCTCTCGCATCACGCTAACAAGGATAAAAATGACAGACAAATCATATCAAATTCATGCGTCCATATAGATAAGTGAAAATTTTAATACATTGGAAAGCAATATCATGCATATATAATCTATAAAAAATAAAAAATTAATCATTCTTTTCATAGAACCATGCAAAACAATTAAATTCAGGTTGCATGCTACTCACCTAAGTTCTAGCCTTAAGTTAAAATTTGTATTCACAGAAATATTTTGATATTTTGATAAAATTTAAGTAATATGAAATTATTAAATTTACATTAAGATAAACGCAACACAAAAAAAATTATCAAACTGTATATTAAATTCATCTAAATATAAACTCAACAGCTTCAAATCCTAATAAGAAATTTAAACATAACACCATATTCTGAGCCAATTAGAAGACATAGCAAAAGGAGAGTAAATGAACAACTTATAATATTATAATTCATACCGTATTTTTACAGTACCTTTAGCCATTTAATAATAAAATTATTGACTTCAAAAACAAAACTTAAAGCCTCATAGTTCACAATAAAATGCATTAAAAATGTAATAATTCTCATATGCTCTTTAAAATGCTATAGGAAAATGAGATTCCCTTCTTTGAAACTTAGAATTCACATTTAATTGAAAAGGAAAGGTTCTATCAAGCTGGTTATCTTGCAAAAATGTTGCCATCAGTCTCCAACATTAACATTGGCCTCAAGGGTTAGCTTTGGTCTCTAACATTGGTTTTCGTCTTCGTCATTGACATTGACCTCAGCCTTGGTGTCACATCACAAGAGCGAAAGGGAAGGATAGAAATGGTGGGGGCAAAGTAAAACCTAATGCAGCATCAAGGTCAGCAATGAGGGGTAAAAGAAAACGGAGTTGCTTTAAAAATATAGAAAACATGTTTTATCAGCTTTTAGTGTTTTTTAAAATTATTTTAAATTTATTTACAAACAAATAAAAATGAGTAAACAAACATATTTTATTATTTTTTTTTATTTTTTAAAAACAAAAACATAGAGCATAAAATAAAAATTGAATACAAACAGCGCCTGAGACTATCTTCAAGGAATTTAGGATTTGCAAAAGCAATTTCTTCCACTATATCATTATTTCGAGCGGCAAATAGGGTTGCAATCGACTAGGGTCGAGTCAAGTATGTCATGGATTGGACTTAGCATGGGCAAATTATAAGTTATTCATGTTCAGTTTGAGCTTGAGGCTTGAGTCGACTTTCACATATATGTTCAAATTTGGCTTGCTTAAATTTTGTAATGATTATACTTGATTTTTATTGGACTTGTTTATATTAAATGAACAAGATAAAAATTTGCATGAGTATTTAATTTTTTTATGTTAAATTTAAAATTTGATTTGTACTTGAACTTTCATAAAGCTAATTCAAATGAATTCTTAATTTTTATATAAATTTATTAACAAATAATTTTATAAATCTAAATAAATAAACAATTGAATAAAACTCAAATTAACATCTATCTAGTTTATATCAAATAATAAAATAAAATATAAGCAGTAAGTAAGCTTTCTTGCATTCAAATAATAATAACAACAAAATAGAAAAATAAGAAATTGTATTAAATTTATATGCATATTGATATTAAATTATAATATATTATTAATAAATATGTAATTAAATATGTTTTAATTAGTCAAAGTTTATTTAAATAATATATCAATCAAATAAAAAGCATTTAACAAGTTATTTGTTGAACGACAAACGAGCTTATTCGTGAAAATTAATAAATGAGTTTGACTACGTTCAAATTTTATTTATTTAACCTTCAAGTTCTAAAAAAAATGTTAAACTTGTTTATGTACTAATTTGAACAAACATGATTGAGTATTAATCGAACTTAGTTCAAGTTGTTTATCAAGTGCATTGCATCTTTTACAACCCAATGGAAAAGAATAAAGTCCCAGAAATAAAAATTGTTTGCAATTTGCTTAAATCTTCTTATAAACACTATATGTAATAAATTTGCCCAAATAGCTCTATACAAAACACCCTCCAAACTTCTATTGGCTGAAGCATCATGCAATATGTTAGGCATTAGGCCTTCAAACAAATTTAACAAGTGCCTCCATGCTCAAAAAAAAAAATCATGCCTATTCTAAGAGTCAACCATAAAATGAGAAAATTGATTAAAGAGAACAACTGGACTCGATAAAAATAGTGCTAGGTAGCAAAAAGGTAACATTGATATTTAGATTCTTATCCCAAAACATCTCCATACTCACCGAAGATGAACTTTCTCTCGAGCAACCACATCCATATCAGCGTGATAATAGTCTGCTGATATACCATGTTCTCTCAATTCCTTTGCAACCTGTATGCCCAATATTCATGTGGAATAATTATGAGCAAGCATTTGCAAAATCAGAAATTTACATGCAGATAAATTATGAAGCAGACAACGTGCTGTTGTTACACTCAACTCAACCTCATGCAACTAATTTACATAAAAAGACAGTATTTTAACCATTTAAAAAAAAAATAGCATGTGGCTTAGGAATCTTATTCATATTTCTAAAAGGATCTCATAGATTTTAAACACTTTGCATTAGATACACAAGCACTTCTAGTAGTAGCTTAAAGTAGACAGCAAAAGCCAAGTAAAGAATTCTTCATAATTTAGTATTTTTAAAAGTGGACAGAGATTTCCATACATACAGAAAAAGGAGTAAAATCTAATGAGAAATATCCACAAACCTGCTCGCATTCCTTTCTAGAAAAGCAATAAACTATCCCTGATTCATTGTTGGTATAAGATGATCTTATATATTCTGCAATTTGATCAATGACCACCTTGCCAACTGATACCTTTTCATGGACCTTTTCCTCGAAGGATACAAAGAATAAGATAAACAGACAACTACAATCTGCTGAAAACATATATGAAATCCAAAATTCCAAGGGCTTCACACCTTGTAGAACAGGTTGGGCCTGTTGACTGTACTTGTGAACTTTACACATTTAGGAATATGCAGCATTTCCAGTAGATCTGTTTGGACCTTGTAAGTCGCAGTTGCCTACAAGTTCTAAGTCATTAATTAAGAGTATCAATCAGCATGGCATCAAATTTCTTAATCAGAAACTGCCAATTAGCATCAATAGGAACATACAGTTAAAGCAATCAGAGGAACATGAGGAAATTGAATCTTCAGAATACCAAGATTCTTATAGTCTGGGCGAAAATCATGTCCCCACTGACTACAGCAATGTGCTTCCTGCAAAATCGCAATGATCAGCATAGGTAAGATGAGAATTTGGATATTGAGATATTGATAATTTAGAGAATGAAGACATGAAAAAACACTTTCAAAAAAAGAGAGCGTGTCATCCAAGAACAAGGTTTTAGTATAATGGTGTATATTAACATAATTCTGTCTAATTAAGCAAACATCTGTTTTCCGAACTTTCTGAGGAAACAGGGAGACCAATATGAAAAAATGAGAAAATCGGACACTATTACTCCTACATATGACGGTTGATGTTAATGTGAAGGTTCATTATCTTCAAGAATGAAAATTGCAATATCACAGCTTGAACGGAGTGGCCTCCCAGCTATTATACTGGGAAAAATTATTTCTTAAGATTTCATTTCATTACCAAATTGCAAATTAAGCTTATCTTGGCATCATGACATTAAGAAAATGTCTAATTCGCATGTGTCCATGCTTTTACGATGTACCATACTTTAACTGTAAGGAATATTGCAATAAAAAGGCAAGATGCAACCCAGCTAGACAGGCCAATCCTCTTAGAGAGGGGGAGGGGGGCCACCGCCCCCTTATTCCTTTCCTTTTATCCCTTTTTTTTTTCTTTCCTTTCTTCCTCTTCCTATTTTCTTTCCCAGGTCTTTTCCTAATTTTTCCTAAAAGCCTAAATCATGCTTTTATTCTCCTTCCCTAATTTAAACATTTTCTTAAATATGAGATTTTGATTTTATTATTATTCTCCATTCTTAATTTAAATGTTTCCTAAATTAGGGTCAAATCTTTTATAAATAGGAGTTGAAGTGTCTAGTGTCAGGGGTCTTGATGTGTCTAGTATTAGTGGTCTTTATTTTGAAATCTGAATTCAATTTTGTCGGAGTTTTTTCCCTCTCAAGGGTTGTATCCGATGACTTGGAAAGCGCTCCGGTTGTAACCCCATACAAGTGGTGATTATCTTTGTTGTTCTGACCACTACACACTGTCCCGCAGTCTGCCAACGACCCAGCCATCCTCCAGCAGCGTCGGCCACCTCCCTGCAAGCCAAACAGTCGCCTGATTCCCTTGCAGCTTCACTGCATGCAATTCACAGCTTTTTGCTGCCCTTCCAGACACCTCTGCGGCAGTCACCTACAGTTCACAGTCCACTCGCTGCCTTCCAGCCACCTCCATTGCATCCACATCCATCACAGCTCCTTGCTGGCCTTTCAGTGCCCCTCCCGCCTCCTGCCACCTCACTCACAGCAGGCCGCAGCCTCAGTCAGGTCTTCCCAGCGCCTCCAGCCACTGCTCCCTCCTTTCTGGAGCTCAAGACCTTCCTCTACCCCAACTCCTCGTCTTTGGCCGTTATCCGTGCCTCCGCTCCTCGGCTTCGGCCGTCGTTCATGCCTCCATTCCTCGGCTCCAGCAGCCATCCTTGCCCCCTCCGGATTTCACCCTTAAACGACATTTTCCGCTCCTTCCAAATGCGGTCCGACGCCTCGAAGAGCGCTGACTTGCTCCCCGCTTCTACTTGACATCACTCTAGCCTTCACCGCAGCTATTACTCCAGTACCACCTCTCCGGATTCCCCCCTCATTGAGCTTGTTGTGTCTTTATTTATTGAGTCTTGTTTGTCTTACATTTTGATTTATGCGGTGTCTTTCTTTTCTTTTGAGTCGGCGTTGTAATCATCCCTTTAAAGTTATAAATAAATTCTTGTCTTGCATCATGGTTTGGGTTCTCCAGTATCAAAGCATCTTAGTTCAAGAACAAAAACAAGGAATAAAATTGAGCAAAAAATATTGCATTTGTCTTACATTCATTACATTAACAAGCTATATATAAAATGATGGTGCTAATTAAAAACTAAGGAGAATAATTGAAAATGATACAGTTAATAATCCTAGAAATATATCATTCAGGCTATGAATAGGCAGATCACATGCTTCACATTCCTGCCTGCTGTTTTGTTCTCTAATATACAATTTCAATTTCTAGAATAATCATGACAGTATGAATGAGCTATGTACAGGGGGGAAACATCCCTACGAGGTGACCTGGTAAGAAGAAGAGATAACACTGTCTGCTCCTCACTGGGACTGCCAGATGAGCATGATTATCGTATGGCTCACATCCCAAATGTAAATAGACAAGTTTAGAATAAGATAAAAGAAACAGAGGCACATGGAAAAATCCAAATGGATAAGATATGTTTATTTGATTATTTTGGGTGTTTAACCTACATCTTTTACTGACAGCAGCGGTTTAGCATTGGTATTAGGTTGCATTGCTACAAAACAAAACTTCAGGCTTTATTTTCTTTCTTGTGTATGCGGTTAAACTTTAAAAGGGTGGGAAGGTGGTGGCTCAGTGTCTTAGCTCAGAATCAATTTAATCTTTATAGAAAGCTCTGGCTTGGGCTAGCCAGAAAGTTACAAAAAAAAACGCCAGAGCATAAAGTGCTGAAGGTGTCGTTCAGAAGAAGTGGTCGAAGAAAATGAATTCAGTTATCATTTTACTCGTTCAAAAAATTTGAAAGGACTCTTAACACTTACAACAATGAATAAGGAAAAAAATAAATCCTTTTCCTTGCCACAAATATGTTCAACCAAAATAACAGAAATTCTAATAATCTGGATGTCCAATCATACGCCCCATATAAAAATGTATCAGTCCAGACTTGAAAAATGAGAGAGCCAGAAGAAACAATTGTATATTAAATGTCACGATTTTATATTTAAGATGACAAAAGCTTACATCAATAGAAATAAGAGAGAGACGCCCAGCATTATGGCATTTTTCAAGCTTAGACATAAATCTCTTGCTCTTTGATATCTTTTCAGGCGTAACATACAACATTCTAAGATCACCATCACCTTTCTCTAGAGCCTTGTATATAAATTTTTCATCATCTTTACTAGTTGCTGAAGTCAGCATGTAAGCTGGAATTCCCAGAGCCATCAATCCCATAACCTGAGTCAGTACTAACATCAAATCAAGCTGTAACAATATAAAATCTGATTAAAGGAATATGGCGCCACAACCTGATCTTGTATAAGAGATAGCAAAGGACTGACAATGAGGGTGATTCCATCACGCAGGATAGCAGGAAGTTGGTAACAAAGGCTCTTGCCACCTCCTGCGGCCATTATAACCAAAACATCTCTCCCGCTCATCACAGCATTTATAATCTGGCAAAAGTCACAAACAATAAGCAATATTATTAAAAAAAACAACCAACTCATTAGGGAAATTTAAGCAAGATTCAAAAGTTCTGTTCGATCATCAAACTAACTTGATTGTGAAAAGGTAAGAATAGAAAGAAACTTTAAAGAGAATATTTTTCAAATAAGCACACCCTTTTCCTGTGGTCATGTTTGTTCTTATGCGCCCAAGAGACCGTAGAGCATTAACTGAAATTAAAATACTCTGTGAGCATACGTGCACTATTGACACAGGGAATTAGTGATAAATTTTATATATTGAGAATCACCAACAAAGACAATTTGGACAGACACAAAAAGAACAAAAGAATGGGAATCATAACATCTGAATTTCCATGATTCTACATCAGGATAAGATTAAATAAAGTTTTGTATCATGAGACAGGAAATTTTAAGGTGCAAGTTGGTTCGTTAACGAGTTTATCATGGATAATAAGCTGTGATGGTAATGGAATGTTAATAAGGTATAAAATAGCTCAATAGACGTAGAAAAGAAATGAGCAACAAGTTGACAATGAGTAAGAGCATAATGGAAAGTGTCAATCAGCATTAGGAAGGAATTTATTTCCTTTCTTCAAAATATATTTCACAAATTGGGTTTCCTATAAGCAAAAAATAATATTCGTTCTAAAATTTCTACAAGGAATCAAAGTCGTTGCATCACTCTGCTCCTCTTCTTGTCACTTCTGCTCGAAGTCAAAGTTGTTATTTATCTTGACTTGTTGCTGCTCTTCGGTTCGATGTTGTTCCCTGCACTCATTGTTTGAATCGTGTGTTTGAATCGATCGTCCTCTGCGTGTTGTCTATGTATTTTGAATCAACTTCCAAGACAAATAATCAATCTGTTTCTACCATTAATGATGACAAATTCATATATATCTTTGACGATGTCACTCGAAGATGCCATTCAGTGTTGTCAATCACCTCACGAATGATTCGAGTCGTTGCTTCCACTAGCTCATCGTCCGACACTTTTGCCCAAACAAAACAGACAATCTGTGTCTTCCTATCGATCACGAGGTAACTGCAATCATTTTCTCACGCTCTTCGCTCTTCCAGCTCTTCAGTCTAAGGACAGACGATTTGTTCGAACAGAGTGCAAATGATTGTTCCTATGTGGTTCGCTAGCATTTGCAGTGATCTCTTCTTGTGGTTTCGCTACATTAGCACAACAGAATGGTTGTGGATCACTCACTCAGCTCACCCTCTTCGACCACTGTAGCGAAAAGATCAGGTACTGCAATTGAGTCGAGTTACCCACCCTAACCATCCACTAATGAGTCTCTGGCATATGTAGATTTAGTGCCTCGTGTTGTGCCTAGCTCGTTGAAATCTAGACCTGCACAACTCCCTATTGTTCTTGTTTGCTCATCTAGTGAAGCAGTCGAATTAAGGGCCCTCTTGCTTCTGTTTGTGCAATAGGTCTTCCTGACTTGAGTTTAACAAGCTTATCATGGTCAATCATGGTACGGCTTCATAATCTTCTTCCTCAGAAGTCACATCCAGATCTGAGCCTACGTCTTTAGTCCCTATCATATCTTACAATAACAAATTAAAATTCAGCCCATTCACTAGGGGCAAATTGAAGCACTGCAGAAAATATTCAGTAATAGTTCTAATCTGAAAAAACCGCATAGTCGGCTATAAAACATCGTATCAGTCTGTTAATATTGGGACAGAGAACAGAATTTGATAGATACACAACCAAAAAACACGTCGATTAGAGAGGTCTGGAACAAAAAGTGAACAGATGTGCACAACACAAAAATCCAAGAAAATACTATTTGACATGTAAAAACCCAAGAAAGCAAAAAAACTATAGAGCTACAACGCACCAAAAATTTCACTATTAAATAAGGAGAAATTTACATATCACACCATGCTCAGAGTCTCTCTACAAGCCTGAAACTCACATACACACATCCTCTCTCGATCGTACAAGAGAAAAACGCATAAATCCAACACACAACGTGCTGAACTACTAGCCTTATCCCGTTCTTATTACATGTACTGTCGGGAGATACCTACCTCATATTGAAGTTGAAGACTTAAATCCCGGTCGAAAGAGAAACTGCTCCTAGCGTTGGAGCTCCACTCCCGAGTGTTGTCTTTCCACAAGCTCTATCTAGAGTCATTCTTTTGGGCACTAGATAGCTCATCCCATGTGTCGAGTTTCTAATGCCTTCGTTTCTAAACATGACAACGAAGATACCACAACATAGTTGTGCCACTTCTATGTGCTCGAATTCCAACCGCTCGAGTTCCAGATGAAGCTTATACCTGAGCACCATACCAGGCACCTGATTTCTGAGCATTCTAATTGTGGGCGCTTGGGCTCCCCTACTAATATTGAGGCACCAGGTCTAGCGCTGGACTTCTACTGCTAGCACCAGAATTCCATCGTTGGATGTGTTCTGCTACAGGGCACTTCTAGCCCAGTCAGGCTCCACACATAATAATCTCCCACTTGGAGACCGATTGCACCCAATTACTCTCATCCATAACTTATCATCATCATAGTCAAGTATTGTAGTGTGACTCACCTCTAGACTCAACCTTCTTGAACTCCCACTGAAGCCACATGTAGCTTTAAATTCTCAATAATCAACATCTTAGACAATATATATGTAGTATTCTAAGCTGTGTGTATCTTATCGAAGAATAACTACACATCTTATATAAGAGAATGAATAAATTGATACCTCAGCTGAACATATTGTCCTGGGATGAAAAGCGATACTTTTAATTAGATGAATCACACACATATTGTCACTATAAAGCTTTTCAATATCTTGCTCCTTGTCTAGTTCCGTCATAAAGCTCTGCAGGCAAATCATCTTCTTGCTTGCCTAAGTGAAAATACCATACTTGGCTTCTGTAGTTGAAAGTGCAACAATCACTTGCAGTCAAGAAACCCAACTCACTATTGTGTTTCCCAAAGTAAAGATATACATTGTTGTATTTCTTTCATCATCTATATCCAATGTCAAAACTAAATCTACATATCATTGTAGATTAATCCATACACTTCCAAAACAAAGTGCATTGTTGATCGTTTCTCTCAAGTATCTGACAATCCACTTCACCACCTCTTAATGATGTTTGTTTGAATTATCCATATACCTGTTGATTACTCTTAATACATGTCCAATATTTGATCTTGCATATATAATCGCATGCAGCAAACTTCCAACAACTGATGCATAAGAGGTTCTTCACATCTTTGCTTGCTCTGATTTAGACTTATGTGATAGTTCCTTAGATAGCCTGAAGTTCCTTAGATATGTTTTAGATATTTGAAAAACGTCGGTGGAGGAATTCTAAACTCAGAAAAACAATCAAAAACTCCCTAACCTAAGTAAATACCACCCGTCAGTCTCCCAGAGTTGGGGGAGCTTCGACTAATTCAACGAAGCTTCTGCATCCTCAAAGTATGGTGTCAGGTTCGTGATATTGAACGTGACTAAAATATTGTTAGTGCCCTAGTAGGCCAATCTTATATGTGTTGTTATTCAGTTTCTGAAGTATTCTGAAAGGTCCATCTGCTCTGGGCTTAAGCTTTCCGAATGTTTCATGATGTCGAAGAGTAGGATTCCATAGGCCAAATGCTATTGCTACATCATCCATTATTGGTGGACTTGCAACACCAAGATTCACAACCAAGCACATGGCACGTCGACCATTATTGCAGCGACCATTCTCGAAGAACTTATTATGACACCACTTTTTCCTTTTGAGGAGCAATAGGAAGCTAGTCGACCCCCCGGATTGGTTCCCTCTACCCTTTTATAGCATCCTTCCCCTCCCGGATGGCTCAAAGTAAACATTGATGGTGCACTACTGCCTTCTTGAGTGGCCGGTATCAGCGTTATTGTTTGAGATGAAAGGGGAGTTGGTCATATTGCTACGGAGCTTCTTTTTGAGCATAGGGACAGCGCCCAAGTTGAACTCCAAGCCATCAAATCCTTCCAAAAATATATGCCAATCAAGGATGCTTGAGTGTCGAGGCATCATCATAAAGGGCGATAATGCTAATATCATGCATTTCTTGACATCTACGATGAAGCAGCACCTAATTTGGCATTTCTTTCGTCTTTCAAACAAGTCTCATTTTTCCATACACCTCGTGGTTGTAGTATTGTGATTGTAGTAGGGCAGCCTATTTTTTGTGCCAAGCGTGCCCTTGGTGGCTCTTTTATTTTGATGCATGTAGATGACGATAGAAAATTTTCCACCATACTTGTAGATTACAAGTCTAACACTGCCGTTGCCAGTCCCAAGCCCGGATGAGAAAAGTGGAGGGTTGCGTTAGGTAGTCGACAGCCAGCAGCGTAAAACTTGTTAGGTAGTCGACAGCCAGCGTAAAACTTGTCGAAAAAATCATGACTTGAAGATTACAAGTCTCTTTTTTATACATCATAGATACATACATATATAGTTTTGTACCATTTTGATATAGTAATGCAAATGGACAATTTTACGAAAATTTTTCCTTCATTAGCCAAATTCACAAGACGTCTCCTTCTTGGAACAACAGCTTCTTCTTGGACTTATTCACATGTGTTTGATATTTGTAATTCTGCTTAGCAATCTCCTTGCAACCTTCTCGCTAAGTTTCTTAATCTCGTAAACCTGTTGTCGGAAAGAGAGGTACCAACTCACGCGATGTAAGCAGATTGAACCCGTGTACAATCTCAAATAGAGTGCATCCTATAGCCTGACTCACAGATTTGTTGTAGGCGAACTCGTCTTGAGTTAAAATGAGATCCCACTGCTTGATACTATTCCGCACGAAGTATCTCAGAAGGTTTCCTAAACTTTTGTTCCTACCTCTGTTTGACCGTTCATTTGTGGACGAGCTGCTAAACTGAATTGGAGCTTGTTGTCTAGCTTTCCCCACAAAGTACTCCAGAAGAGGCTTAGAAATTTGACGACTCTGTCAGCGGTAATGGTCCTGAGAATCCCAT